TATTGCAAAGTGCCCCGGCGGCGCTGACGCTCCTGGTTTTAAAGCCCCTGATCTTCCGGAAGATTCGCATGATATTCGGCACATCTGGCCTGCAGAAGTTGTTTGTTCCAGTTGTTTGTTGGGCAGTGGAATGTTCCGGAAGATAGGGGCGGTAGGTCTTTGTTTGCGCGAGCTCGACTGCGTCGCCTTTGAATCTCATAGGGAGATCGGCGCCGCGGCCGAGCCCCGCGATTCGTCGAGACGTTTCCAGGCGAGAGCGCCAAATCGGCGAGCGCGGGCCATTTGAACGGCGACGTCGACACAAAGTCGCGACCATTTTCGAACACCATGGATTTCCATATGGATTTCCATACACTATATGGATTTCCACATGGATTCCCATACATTGTATGGATTCCCATATAGGATTTTTAATATCCTATAAGGATTCCTAGGCATTCCCATGGGTTCCCATCCACCTGGTTTTTTCAACAGGGGAACCTATCTTAAAATACCCGGATTTCAATAAAGAATTTATATTAACTACTGACGCGAGCAACAAAGGAATCGGCGCAGTTTTATCTCAGGGTGAAATCGGAAACGATCTCCCGATTGCGTACGCTTCCCGAACCCTCAATAAAGCAGAACGTAATTATGATACTACAGAAAAAGAACTTCTAGTTATTGTTTGGTCGACAAAACATTTCCGACCTTATCTATACGGTAGAAGGTTTAAAATAGTCACAGACCGTAAACCATTAGTTTGGCTCTTCGTAAAAGATCCATTGTCACGATTAATGAGATGGAGGTTAAAATTAAAAGAATTCGATTATGAAGTTTTATACACTGCTCAAAAAAATTATGGCATAGAAAAATTTTGAGCAAAAATTGGTCAACTTTGGTTAACGGTAACTCCGCGAAAAATCATCATAAAATGATGAATTTTTTTTCAAATAAAAGCTTGAAATCTCTATTTTAAAATACCGTGAGTTGATTTTAAATTTAATGCACCCCTGTGGCTGTAAACTCTTACATCTGAGAGCATGTTTGCCACACTGAAAATTGCAAAGTTTGAACGAGTGCACGGACTTGCTAAAATTTTTTCCGCGAGGGATGCGGTTTCCAGCGTCATAAAGTTGGAATCTTTCTCTTTAATTTGAAAAAAAAACAAGTCGCTACGATTTTTTTTCACAAAGTTACAGCATTTTGAAGTAACCCTTGTATTTTTGTCATGTATGTTTGGCATTGTCCGATGTGCACTATAGGGAGTTAGCAATCGGATTTTGCACATTGTGTGAGTGCGGGCGTGTGTAAAATATACACACACGGTGTGCAAAATCCGATCATCAACCTACTTATAGTGCACATCGGGTAATGTTGATCATACATGAGAAAAATACAAGGGTTACTTCAAAATGCTGTAACTTTGTGAAAAAAAATCGTAGCGACTTGTTTTTTTTTTCAAATTAAAGAGAAATATTCCAACTTTATGACACTGGAAACCGCATCCCCGAGAAAAATTTTAGCAAGTCCGTGCATTCTGTCAAACTTTGCAATTTTTTCATGTATGATTGGCATTATCCGGTGTGCACTATAGGTAGGTTGGCGATCGGGTTTTGCACATCGTGTATGTATGTGTGTATGTTTTACACACGCCCGCACTCACACAATGTGCAAAATCCGTTTGCCAACCTCCCTATAGTGCACATCGGATAATGCCGAACATACATGAGAAAAATACAAGGGTTACTTCAAAATGCTGTAACTTTGTGAAAAAAAATCGTAGCGACTTGTTTTTTTTTTCAAATTAAAGAGAAAGATTCCAACTTTATGACA